TGCATTGTTAGACATTTTCTTTGCATACTGTAATGTAGCGTTATTCAAACTTATTATATTGAGTGGAAGAAATTGCATTTTTTGAATGTCATTGATAATTGTGTGCATTAAAGTGTTGTTGTCATTATCAACAATTAATAATATTTGTGAAGCTTTTAAATCTTCCTTTATGTACGTTACCAAATTATTAAACCAGAAGCAATTGGAATACTCAGTTTTTGACGACACTGACAGATTTAGAAGAAATATTACAAATGCAAAATTTTGTATATTCATTTTGTAATTGACTTATTTTATATGAATTTGAAGTAATATTTCTTTTAATAATTTTTTTAAACAAATTTTTGTTTTATATTTATTTCTTATTGCAGAAAATAAGAAAATACCACTGAATACTTCAAGAAATTTTTCAAAGGAACTACCTTTTTTCAGCAGTATTATGTTAGTGGATTGAAAAATATTTTTGTACTGAACTTAATTAATGTTAAAAAAACTAACATACATTTTCTCTAATTATTTCTTTCTTTTTTAAATAGTATTGCATGACCTTTGCTTATCTTATTGTTATCATATTGAAATATCTTGACTAGCTTTTACTTTGTAAACAATTTAAAAATCAATGATTGCTTAACGTTGTATAAATTTTTTAAATATTGTTTGTGTCTAAAATTCAAAACCAGTAATTATTAAATTTTTACCCGTTATTGGAATTAACAACTAGAGACTTAGCTGTTGTTGAAGTTAAATACTTAAAAAAGAACGTCAATAGAAGGGAAATTTATTGTAGTATCCTCCCCCTATTTTCTGGGAACGGGGGATAAACCCGCGCCACCTAGAGAGGTGGAGAATTTGTGTAGATTACTGTCAACGGTAATTAATGGTGGAACTCTTGTTTGAAAGGACATAGGCAAACAGTAAGAAAGCTTTTCAATAAAGATGCTTGTAATTCTTATAAGAAAGAGGTAGAGAAGGCATGGTATATTATCCGGAAGAGTTTTCGCGAAGGAATCGACAGAGTAGAAGCATTAAGTCTGAAACGCTATTTCAATGGTCAAAATTAAAATTGTTAAAAATTATTATAAATAAAAATAAATTATGAATTTATAAATTAATATTGAATGGAAATTAAAAATAGAATAAAATTGAGAGAATGAGAAATGAAATTTCAACTAAATTTAAAGTGTGAGAAATTCAAAATAAGGTCAATAGAGTACAAATGTACTGGGATATTAGAAAACCTATGGAAATAGCACAGCTGATTCAAGGCCAAGGTTAAGAAAGAGAAGAGAAAATTTAATATTTAAAAAGTATAAAATTGATTAGAAATTTGAATAAATATTAAAAAAGTAAATTATAAAAAATTAACACAATGTTAATTTTCTATTTAACATGTATATTTTGTTTTATATAAATAGTACTAATTTTATTAATTAAATTATTTAATAATAATATGTTGGAATAAATAAAGTAAGGGTAAAATTTGTATCAATAAATAGATAAAAATTAATAGATATTGTTAACAAAATATAAAATGATTATAAATTTATTATTTAAAGAATTATTTAAATTTAAAGAAATAAAATAAATTTATAGAGAAAAGTGATTGACAGCTATACAATGGCATTGTTCTCGGGAAAACGTTAGACACGTTGGCGACCAGAAAGAGAGAAAATATATTTATATCCTCATTTTGAAATTTGAATACTATTGACGAGAAAAATTAGACGCTTTTCAAAAAGCAAAGAGAGGGATAAAATTGGCGGTAAGAAATGCATGGCAAAACTAAGCGTCCCTAAAGGGTAGGGGAAAGTTTTGAATTTCAGTCAATCAAAGGAAAGAGTTTTACGTAGACTAATATAGTTTTTGAATTTTATACAAGAATTGTAAATTTGGGGGTTGATCATGACTATATAAACTCTGAAAATGGAAGCGTCGCTATCTCATTTCTATTCTGACACTTGAAAGGGTAAGCATGAACACTTATCATACAAGTACATTTAATAATATTATATACTTGTAATATTCAGGAGTTCGTTGTTCTGCAACTTACAACCTGTTATTATAGGATATAATTGTAACAATTACATATACAATATTATAATCTGGAAATATTCAGGAGTTCGTTGTTCTGCAACTTACAACCTGTTATTGAAAGTTATAATTATTAACATTTAACATAAATACATTACAAATCGTAGAAATTTTACAGGAATTTGTTGTTTTACAACTTATAACTTGTTAATTTCAAAATTATTTACAAAATCAAGCCCTGGAATTAAAATTTGAGGAACTCGCTGAATTCTTTTTAACTTTTAACCTTAGTTTTGATTCCTAAAGGGGTAACAAAAGCAAATCGTAAGTTTATTGAATATTCTTATGAGCTGTGTTCATATAGTAATAGTCTATATCGATGTGGCAGTTTAAAAGATTCAATAAATATTGATCCTAATACTCCAAAATTATTATTTATAATAGGAAATAATTAATACATTTGTATTAATTATTTAGTTAATTTTCAGAGAAATAAATAGATTTCTTTAAGTAAATTAAAGTAATGTTGAGCATTTTTCGATATTATAATTTATAATATCTAAAATAAATCAATAATTGCATGGTTTATGTTTATGAAGAATATTTATTTGTATAAAGCTGTTTTTTGTTGTTCAATAATCCACATTTTTTATTTATTTAAAAAAGCGAAGCTTTTCATCCATACACGATGGATCTCATCAGGCATTTCATTCACTGCAAACATGATAACTGTCAGTACTCAACAATAAATAAAAACTTTACAAAAAATACATATAAAGTGAAAATGAAAACGTATAAAAATATTTTAATATAATTTAACATTGTATCTTTAGAGGCTAAATATTAATAACAAATTTAAAAAGTTTTTCTACATAACCTCAAACTTACATTTGTGGATTACTTCCTTTACATACAGATTTTATACATCTCAAACATAAAAATTAAAAATAAAAACAGAAAAATACATCATGTTTTGTTTAGAGATGAGCGTTTGAAATTTCAAACTCAGAGCCATGGTTGAACGTTGAAAATAGATAGAAAAAGGAAATGCTCCACATTACCTATAGTGTATACTTTACGGGATCTAATTTATCATCATGAATCACAAAAGTGGGAAAATACCTTATCATACATAGTGTGAATGTCAAAAAAGGCGCGTAATTTAAAAAAGTCAAACCACTATGCGTTCATAATGAGAGAGTGAACAGCTTTATATTAATTATTGAAATCCAAAAATAACGAACATCATATATAAATATTTATTTGGTCAGAAAATAGTTAATTTAGGGAATAGGGAAAACTTGACCTTGTAATTATAGGCAGGATTTATAAAATTTTATTATTAAATTTTATTTAAATTTTTGTTTATAGATTTGTAATAAAGGAGAAATTAAATAATTACCGATCTTAAGTGAAAAGGAAATACATTCTAAGGTGAATGAACTTTGTTATTTATTTTGTTTTATTTTGTTAATATTGAGTCAATTTATGTGAAACATAGCAACCGAACTTACAAAATTATTTATATATAAAAACTATTTCATAAGAAAAGATTTCTTTATAGTTAAAAAATTGTGTTAATTATTATAATTTAACTTTAATTTGTTAATTTATTATTTTATATATTTATCCTACGAACAGAAGATAAAAAAATTATCTTATTTAGTAGTGGATAAATTAGAAAGAATAAAAAGCTGAATTACCGAATAATTATTGGAGCAGATTCCTCTAATTTGGTTACAAAGCGACAAATGTTCTCAAAAATAAAATATAATATTTAATTAAAGAGAAATTTAGATTACATAATTTCATTCATAAAATCTATTACTATATGTTGCTAAAACAGATCTTATCAGTTGATATAGTTTGACGCGTGCCTCATTGTCAAAGGATCTTTAAATTTGGGAAACAATGTCCTTTTAAATTCAACAATAACATTCTTTCTATTATATCAAACATATGATATAAGAATGAGAATTGTCAAATACGTAAGTGTGAGATAATTCTCATGTTTGAAACACGTAGGTTTTCAGTATATCACCGTGCAGTAGGCTATTAAATCAAAATAAAGGAAAAATATATAGATATATACTTCCCTCGGTCTGTTAACCAATATACGCATGTTTCAAGTCTTTACAAGATTCTTGCTAGAGATCCAATGGCCAAATTAACTACCATTAAATTTCTAAATGACCAACTTGCTAAAGACAAAATGGAGTATCTAAAGTATATAATGGAAGTAAACTTCCCGGACTTTCGAGAGAGATTGGAGAATGGAAGTAATGTAGGAACTAGCAGGGCCCGAGGAAATCGTGAACACTGAAAACTACCATATAAAGGGGTGACTCCGGAAGTGATTGATTGGGCAATAATCTCTTTCGAACCGTATAAAGCCTCGGGGAGACTTCAGACCAATCAGTTTAACTTCTATTATATTTAAAGCTATTTAGAGAAACTGGTGGATAATCGTATTAGACAGGAATGTCTGAAGGATTATTCTCTTTATATAGAGCCGGTTTCTCCGTAAAAATAGTACTATATATTGGAGTAGTAAGAGTAGAGGACTATGCGCGGCTGGCACTTTTCTCGACATTGAGGGTGCCTTCTCTAACACCTCAAGCAACTTTATCTGTAGGGCAACCACAAATCAAGGTGTGCCCGAGCCGTTAATTAAGTAGATCGATAGCATGCTACGCGAAAGGGCCCTAAAAGCAGAATATGGTAAGGCAAGAGTAACAGCCCTCGACTCAAAAGGGTGCCCACAAGAAAGAGTTCTTTCTCCTTTTTGTGATCCATTGTAGCATAGCAGGTGAGTTGCTTAGGAATCTCAATAGCCAGGTGTTAAAGGGAAAGGAAGGGTTTGAGCAGAATAATTAATTGAGAACAAAATATTATAAAATCCTTTTATTTGAAACAGAAACATATTGAAACACGGTACAATTACATATAACAATGATTAACAATTTCAGGCGAGACCGACGGATCTGAGACAGTGGCGAAACTAAGAATTGGGGGCCCGCAAAAAGCACAAGGAGCCCATGTAAGGATATTGTTATTTAAAATGTAATAAATTTATGTAAACAAATCTTTTAACCTGTACCTGTCATGTACAGAAAAAAATTATTTTCAAACCAATAATATAAAACTTAAACAGTATAATAGGCTTTTTAAGATTAAATTTTGAATATTCAATTCAAGCAAATTTTTAATTATGTTTATAACCTTAATCAGGGCCCCTCCAGCTGAAAAGGCTTCTCGCTTTGCGGGTTCCAGCGGGGATGTAGTTACGCCACTGATCTGAGATCAAAATAAAACTAAAGGGGGATCTCAGGGGTCGGTGCGCTCAAAGAGAAGAAATGAAAAATCATGCAGCTGAACGGATCTCATAAGAAAGCTGCATGATAATATCTGGCTGCATCAGATGATTTTAAAACCCAGATGTCTAAACGCGGTGCTTGTTTGGTGGTCCAGAACTCAACTTATAACTATAAAAGAGGTATGACAGGGGCTATGAGGACCACGCCGATTTCGGAATTTATCGAAAAACTGTCTGCATCAGAAAGTCGTCAATTGATTTTCATGACGATTGAAATAGTTTATTTGACATTTATTCCCTTAAAAAATGATTAGAATTTATCTAAGTATCCTTGAGAAATCTGCGGTTATTTTTTTGTTATTAGGCTTTGAAAAGGGTTAAATTTCTTGAAGAAGTTGATCACAACAGAACTGAATAATATGCTTTTACTTATAATATATAATAATATAACTAGGTATATTAAAGCTTTCCAAAAAGAAATTAATCATTTATCTTCAAAATTTGCAGAAGTCACGATTCTGCATAATTACCATATTTATTAATGCAAATTAAGGCGTACTTGCGTTTGCGAAGGCAAAAAATAGGCCCCACTTTAATGTTTATTTTCACAGTTATGTTCATAAATAATAAAGTTTATTATTGCAATTCAATTATTTTTAATACAATTTTAAATAAATTCCTCAATAATATTAATTATTTTGCAAGAATTTAATTACATTTCACAAATAATGAAATTGTTCGCTTAAATTCAAATATTTTTAAAAACTACTATTTTAATAAAATGTGTTAAATGCTTTCAATTACATTTAAAAAATGTAAGAATTTATTAAATACATTAATGTTTATCAAAAATGAATCCTCATAAAAAGTTTTATCAACAAATTGTTAAATAATTGAATTTTTTCGCCAAATTTTAATAAAATTTTCAATTCAACTTTTTGAGGAATTCCACTTAGACTGTAATAAAAATAATTTATTTATCTCATACGGAATAAAAAGAAACCTGGACCAGGTTGTAAAAGCTGCTAAAAGGATAAATATAAGCCAAGATCCCATTTTTGGATACATATTTTCTTTTTCAACGCCGCACCCCCATACTAGTTCATCCTTTACTTCATCTACGCCAAACGCCAATGCTGCGTCATTACGTCAACGTCCTTGACACATCTAGCGTGCTCGTATTCGTCTTCTTTAACAACAGCTGATGGCACATGAGAAGAAACACAATTGTCTACGGCCAGTTTAAAGATCAATTTAGAAAAAACATCAATAGTTACATAAAACGTAACTATAAACGTAAATTCCTAAACATTTCAGCCCTTATAACGTTAGACGAAGGTGTCAATTATTCTGCTGCCGTGAAAAGTCCTGATCCTACTTGTCAAAAACTAAAAAAGATACTGTGGGCTATGGGACTTCAGCCTCAGACAATTCAAATTATATGTTTTTCTCTCTTACCCAGTAAAAAAAAGGTATTGAGTGGAGCGTTTAGGAATTGAGTGAAGCTCTGTGCCAATACGGATTCGAATAAAAACCGTATTGGGACGTTTGACTCAATCTTTTTCTCATCCGCCGAATACGGTTTTATTTTAGCATTAAAATTAAAATCAGAAGCAGAGTACACATTATAAATTGAAAGCACAATTGTCCTGGAATGTAAAAATGCCGATTTCGATAAGAAACAGTGAATATTGGTTAAAAATTTGTAAAAGTAAAGTTTGACAAGCGCGACAGAATTTACCATGTAAATGAATGAAGTGGTAAGTTTAAATGGACTAAAAGAAATTTACTGTTGCCGACAGAAAGTTCCTAGAGAATTGTGGTAAATTCAAATGGAGAAAACAAAGCAATGAAATTTCATTGTTTTGTTAATTTATCACAATTCTTTAGGAACTTTATGTCGGTAACCGTAGATTTCTTTTAGTTCATTTAAACTTACCACTTCATTTATTCACATGGTAAATTCATTGGTGCTTGTCAAACCAATTTTTAACAAATATTCACTGTTTTTTATCGAAATCGGCATTTTTACATTCCAGGACAATTGTGCTTTCAATTTATAATGAGTACTCTGCTCATGTGATTTTAATTTTAATGCTAAAATAAGACCGTATTTGGCGGATGAGAAAAAGATTGAGTCAAACGTCCCAATACGGTTTTTACTCGAATCCGTATTGGCTCAGAGCTTCACTCAATTCCTAAACGCTTCACTCAATACCTTTTTTTACTGGGTACTCTAGTTGTTCCACCAAAGCTGTGAGTGCGTCTTAATACCACAGATGAGAAACAGCCTAACTGGAAGTTTATTAGGGAAAATAACTATTATGAGCAATTCTTATTCTGTTAAATAACAATTCGTCAAGCTGTAAATTAGTAGACTTAAATATTAGAAAAAGTTGATGTTATTAATTAGACCTGTAACTAATTAGATTTTCTTTTCTTGCAGAGAATGGAATTATGGACCTCTTTGGAACAAAATGAAGTCGTTGTTTCCAATAGGTTAAAGAGAAACCTGTACCAGGTTGTAAAAGCTGCTAAAAGGATGAATATAAGCCAAGATCCCATTTCTGGATACATGTTTTTTTCTTCAACGCCGCACCCCCATACTTGTTCATCCTTTACTTCATCTACGCCAAACGCCAATGCTGCGTCATTACTTCAACGTCCTCGACACATCCAGCGTGCTCGTATTCGTCTTCTTCAACAACAGCCGATGGCACATGAGAAGAACCACAATTGTCTATGGCCAGTTTAAAGATCAATTTATAAAAAACATCAATAGTTACATAAAATGTAACTATAAACGTAAATTCTTAAACATTTCGGACCTCATAACGTTAGACGAAGGTGGCAATTATTTTGCTGCCGTGAAATGTTCCTGCTTGTCAAAAACTAAAAAAGATACAAATGAGTGAAACGCGCCGGATGACGTCGAATTTTTATACGCATATGGACAAGCATAAGCTAAAACGTAACACGAGTTCAGCATTGAAGTTGGCGACATTGCTCGAAGAGAAGGAGGACGACAGTGAAGATGGGTCAAATGAAGATGACTTAACCATCAGGAGATGTTAGTTGTAAACTATTTTAGAAAATTGTGATTTTTTGACAAATTTATAAACATATTTTCATTATGAATTTATTTTGAAGTATTTTAGTTAATATCTTAATATTTTAATTTTAGTTATAATTTTTTAATTTTTATTATATTCCTTATACATATTTTAGTACTTTATGTATGAATGGACACTGCCAATATAAATGTTATAAATAAATATTTTGATGTAATTTGACTTCAGAAGTCAATGCCTCAATATCTCAAAACGAGAAAGAGCTAAAGGCTTCAATTTTTTTTAAATTGTAGGTCTCTCCGTGGGACATAAAATGAAAGTATTTTTAACAAGATTTATAAAGTTTAACTATATATTTTTTGCATTTTTCATTTGGTAAAAAAAAGTTTTTTGTCCGTAACTTTAAAAAAATGTTAAGACACCTATACATATTTTCTTTAGTTTTAAAAATATAATTTTTTTAACATTCTTGTTTAATAACTTATGTGTAATTATTAAACTATAATATACATTTAAATTTTTCGCTTTGATTAAGTATTATAATTTAGCATGATTGTTTAAAGTTTTTTTCTAAAAAGTCAACAATTTTATTTATCACTTTTCGCTGCGCTATAAAAAGAAAGGTACTAATTTAGTACAATTAAACATTGTTGACTCAGAAGAAAATAGTGAAGCTGAAAATGTACCTACTAAACATTTAGAGACTAATGTTGTGAATGTAGCTGTTGTGAGTGTGCAGCATTTAGAGGAACAGATTGATTCGGATAATGTGTCTGTTGAAAATTTAAGAGATGACAATGACGTCAAAAAAGAGGAGGACAATATTAATATTGAATATACACCTCCTGTTAAGGTTGAAAATTATGTTATGACCAATAAATTAAAATTGGTAAGCATTTGGTTTTCTTTATTCAATTCGAAGGATTCTTGTAATTCGATGGCTGTTTTTGAAAGACTGATTTTACCACTGAAAGAGTTTGACATTTGGAATCCGAGAGAGGGACGTTCCGCTCCGTTTGTCATTTTTCATGATGGAACAGATTATAGAGGGAGAGATTGGTGGACTTTGATACCTTGCGTTGATTTGATAAAATTTGCCATATTGCTACAGTTAAATGCTTATGGACATGATGGCATATTTTATTTGGAGGGAAGGTATTTTTTTTTGAGTCCAACAGGATTAAAATTGTAAGTCACTTATTTTTATTTATTTACTATTAAAATATATAATTTTTATTTGTTTACATACTTTGTATCTTTGTTTATAACTTAGGTTGATGAAGAACTTATATCCTGGGAGGGAAATAAAAGAATTCTTAAGAAGTTGCCTACAATTGAATACGAAGGTGTTACTATAACTTTGCCTGCTGAGTTTGCTGCGAAAAAGAATTCGATTATTAATGATCATAAATCTTTGTTGGACAAATGTTTTGACACTGAAGAAATCTTTATTTTATATAATCGAAAAGTAAAATTTGTGGGTGACTCAATGATTCGAGTACGTATTTTTTTATTCTTGTGTCAAATGAATTCTTCTATTGTTTAAATTATTATTATTATTTTAATTTCTTTACAGGTGTGCAAATATGATTAATGGTTTAGTGAGCAATTTCAACTATTAGGTTATAAACAGAAGAGAACTTCTTTGAAAACTTTTCGTATGCGCATGGAACTTCCTATGGAGTGGAAACTTAATTTTTATTGCTCAATAAATGAAGGATTTTCTAATCTAAAAAGGCACATGTTGGAATCGACAGATCTTTTGGGGTCTCCTTTTTTTGCTGGAGGTGTGAAATGGATGATAAATGGTCATCAGGTGAATCGTGTAAGTGTTAAAAACTTATTTTCTTGTTTATTATATGCATTTAACTAAAAAAACTTGTGTTTTTTTTGTTTCAGTATTTTGGACCTTGATAGTGACATGTTTTATTATAATTATTGTATATATAATAAAATTTTAAAAAAAGAAAAATAAAAACAAATTATAATGTTCATTTTCTTTTATTATTCTGTGTTTCTGTTTCCTTTTACTTCTTTTTCCATTAATTCTGTACAAACCTCGTTTTTTACGTAATCACTCAGTAATTCATTTGTTTCTGTAATTTCAGTTTTTTTGTCTTTAAATATAATATTATAATAGTAATTAAATTAATTACTGTTAGTCATTTCTTCTATTTCTATGGCTAAAGTTTGATTATTTATTTTTATTGAACAATCTGATGGTAATATTAGAATTCCATTATTTTTCAATAATTTAGTAAAAGATTTTTTAAAACATTGTATGTCAATTTGTTTAAATTCTTTAGTAGTATATATATCCAAAAGTTATGTTTTAGTAATGGTGTTAAGAATGGGAATTCCCCCGCCGGGTTGTCCACTACCGAACATCATCGATGTCTTTGACGTGCTGGGAGAAGCGGATCCACTGCCAAATGTCATTGATTTCTTTGATGTACTCGGAAGAAGTGGATCCACTACCGAACATCATTGATTTCTTTGATGGTCTGGGAGAAGTGGGTCCGCTGCCAGACATGATTGATTTTTTTGATGAGTTGGGAGAAGTGGGTTCGCTGCCAGACACGACTGGCATCTTGGATATGTTCGGTAGACCTTGCCGTGGTGGCGGGGCTTTTCACTAAAGGACAACCAACAGGGTGGTACCCTGATTCTAAAAAACAAAAAAAAATATGATTATGAATCATAATATCAATGAATTACCGCAAGGAGGAACCCCGAAAGGGGACAATACTCCCGACGGTGTTTCTTCGAACACCGCCGCAGGCCCCACGGATTTTGGGGGGGCCAAAACAATAATCAGCCGATAATCTATGAGACAAATGTCTCAGACCAGTTCCTGGCTATTCCGGGAATTTTCAAAAGCTTGCGCCAAGGATTCAAGCGCCAAAAGAACGTCAGTCGTGAAATCCAGGATGGCGTGACGGTTTTGGAAGGTGCGTTTGACATAATCTGTAAGAATTTACGTTTTATCCCCAAGCCCTTCAAAGACCAAGAGCCGCAACACCCAACTGTGGTAGCTCCACAGCAGACGGAGAGCACTACTGCACCTCTGAACGGCGCAACGACATGTCCTAATAAGGCAAAAGGCGTTAATAAACGCCCCAGGGAAGGTGCAAGCCCAGATGCGAGTCCGCGACGGGCGACTCAAGGCGGGAAGAGAATTAAGCGAAAGGAGGCTCCACAGCTTGGTTCTGAGTCGCTAGTTGGAACAAAAGAGGCGCCCTCAAACAGTCCTGGCAAGTCGTATGCTGGGCCCGTCTTGAGGGACGAAGCGGACAATGGAGACGGTTTCAAAGTTGTTAAAAACAAAAAGAAACGGACTCCAAAAGAGAAACCCTCAGGTGAGAAAAAAGAGCTTCCGAAGCCCCCTTTGAAGCTAAGGAGCACGGAAGCTGTTAAAATTACGGCAAGCGACCCAAAGTTTTATGAGGGTATTTTGCCGCTAATAAAAGCAAAGGTAAACCCAGAAGATACGGGTACCGTGATCCGGAAAATCAGGAGAACTTTTAAACAGGAGGTTCTCGTGATAGTGAAAAAGGGCGGAGAGACCTTAAAATTTGCAGATGCACTGTCTTCAGCCCTGCATGGTAAAGCTGAGGTCACACCTCTAGTGAATAAAAGGTCTCTAGAGATTAAGGATGTGGACGAAGCCACCTCAGAGGATGAGGTAACTGCAGCACTAAGAGAAAAGCTGGGTAAACCCGACCTGAAGATGGAGTGTCGACTTTTGCCGCGCTACAGAGGAACTAAGGTTGCTCTGGTACGTCTGACAGAGGCAGAAAGTAACACTCTGCTAAAGCTTGGTAAAATAAAAATCGGCTGGATAAATGCTCCAATTCGCGAGCATGTTGAAGTAGCTAGGTGCCAAAAGTGCCTAGCATACGGACACTCAACCCGAACCTGCAAAGGCCCCGACAGAAGTAAAAACTGTCGGAGATGCGGCGGAGAGGGACACCTCGCGAAGAGCTGTAAAGTTAAGCCGAAGTGCCTTACATGCTTGGACCTGGGGAAGCCAGAGACGGATCACGATTCCGGAAAGAGAGCCTGCCCGGTTTACAGAGAAGAACTGCAAAAGATTAAAAGGGCAAATCCTTAAAATTTTTGCAGGTCAACCTACATACAAGTAAGGATGCACAGTTGCTCCTAATGCAAACAGCAAGGGAAAATGAGGTCGATATCCTGTTCTGCAGTGAGCAGTATCAAGGAAGCGACCTCGCCCCTTGGTATCAGGATAAGGCGAAGAGAGCCGCCATAAAGCTGTGCAACCCAAAATTGCGGGTTGACAAGTTTCTGGAGACGAGCAGTGGGTTCGTGTGGATAGAGGTGGCTAATATAAGTATGTATAGCTGCTACTTCTCACCCAACGACCCACTGACAAACTTCGAAGCCAATATCGAAGACCTAGAAGCGAGCCTCACAGAATCCAGGCTGGATGTCATCATCACTGGTGATTTTAACGCAAAGTCGCCAGAGTCGGGTGAGACGAGACTCGACAAGAGAGGAATTCGTATTGGAGAAATGATCTCCAGAAACGACTTATTGGCAGTAAACCGAGGCAATACATGGACTTTTAGACGAGGTGCGATCGGATCAATTATAGATCTAACAATCGCATCGTCTAAACTATTTAGCCGCATAACCGACTGGCGGGTCTTTGAGGAATATACCGCAAGTGACCACCAGTACATTGAGTTCTCAGTCTCGATGGGAGACACACGAGGAGGAAAAAGACAGGATGCTCCTAGTCGCAAAACCTCCTCGTGGAATATGAAGAGACTCGACAAGGAAAAGTTCGGCCGGTCCCTAAGAGAAGCCCTTTTAATTGAGGACTTGGGCTGGGTGAAGAGGCCGAGCAGTCTGGATGGGGAGGTGCGAGCGGTGAGGAACATGATAGTCACCGCTTGCAATGCGTCAATGCCACGCAAAGGCGCCACTCCCGTAAGAAAATCCTTGCACTGGTGGTCAGAGGAGCTAGCCTCCTTGAGAAAGGAATGCCTCAAAGCAAGAAGGACATATACCCGATCTAAGGGAGATCCCTTGCTGAAAGAGGCTTTCAAGGAGGCGAAAAAGGACCTCAAGAAAGAGATCCGCAAGTCGCGACGCCGTAGCTGGAAGGACCTAATCGAGGAAGTCGATAAGAACCCATGGGGTCTGGCTTTTAAAATCGTGACTAAGAAAATAGTGACGAGGCAAAAGACCCCAGGCCTGGACAATCCCGATTGGGTCAGAAAGATAATAAGTTCTTTGTTTCCTCCTGCAAAACCATACCTTAGAAGGGACTGGAGTTTTTGCAAAGTCGAAGAGGAAGAACTCTTCACACTTAGTGAACTGCAAAAAGCAGGCAAAAGATTGAAAACAGGCAAGGCGCCTGGAATCGATGGGATAAGTAACGAGATCCTAAAGTTGGTAATCGACACTTCACCCCAGATTCTGCTTCGATGCTTCAATCTTTGCCTTGAGAGAGGAGAGTTCTTCCGCGACTGGAAGCGACAGAGGTTAGTCCTCCTGAGGAAAGGTGAAAAACCTCTAGATAAAGTCTCATCATACAGGCCTATATGCCTGCTAGATACGATGGGTAAACTTCTAGAGGATATGGTTTTGCAGAGAATGCAAAGCCACTTGACCGGAGAGAATAGTCTATCGGATCACCAATTTGGTTTCCGTAAAGGCAAGTCCACAGTTGATGCCATCCAGGCAGTTGTGGACATAGCCAAAGCAAGAAAAAACAAGTTGGGACCCGGAAAAAAGAAGAGCTTCTGCGCGTTGGTAGCAATTGACATACGCAACGCGTTTAATTCCGCAAGATGGAAAGATCTCATCGAGTCGATGGAAAAGAAAAACAGGCCGCCCTACTTGTTGCGGATAATGGATAATTATCTTAGCGACAGGTGGGTTATATATGAGGGAGACACCTGCACTCTCAAGGAAGAGATGCAGCGTGGGGCTCCTCAAGGCTCGAGGGTGGGTCCATTTGTATGGAATGTATCTTACGATGATTTTCTGCGAATGGATCTACCCGAAGGTGCGGTGATCATCGGCTTTGCGGACGACGCGTTGTTCGTGTGCACTGCCGAAAGTGAGGAGGCTCTTGGGACATTGGTGAACGAATGTCTGCGACTTGCAAAAAGCTGGCTGGATACCAGAGGTCTTGAAATGGCCCTGGAAAAGACCGAGGCACTGCTGGTCACAGACAGACGTGGTTATGAGCTCCCACGAATCGTGATAGACGGATTCGAGGTCAAGTGGAGTAAGCAAATTAAATATCTTGGTGTGGAGTTGGATGGAAGGTTAAACTTCCACCACCACATGGCTACGGCGTCAAATAAGGCGATCGAGTGTGCGGCTAATCTTTCACGGTTAATGCCAAATGTAGGCGGATCCTGTGAACACAAACGGAGACTGGTGGCAAGTGTCGCCCACGCTAAAATGCTCTATGCAGCACCAGCGTGGGCCCCATCCCTGAGGTGCAAAAGATGTGTGACCATCTGTGAAAAGATACTGTTGGCGCAGAGATCGATAACAACGCGTATCATCTCTGCATATAAGACGGTATCTACGAGTGCTGTGCAGGTCCTTGCAAGTGTCCCGCCAGCAGATCTTTTGGCGAGGGAAAGGGAAGAAATGTTTCTCTTTTCTAAAGAAAAAAGTTCCTTAGATGAGGAAATAAGACCAAGCAAGGGCCTGATCCGCAAAGAAGCGAGGCACAGGCTCATAGAAAGATGGCAAGAAAGATGGGATGGTGAGGAAAAAGGTCGATGGACTTATCGCCTTATCCCGGCACTCGCCACCTGGATAAATAGGAAACACGGTCAGGTTTCCTATTATTTGACTCAGGCGCTCACAGGTCACGGGTGTTTTAACTCGTA